GCATTTTTTTTATATTTATTTCTATTGGTGTCTGAATGCACAACAGTGAATAGCTGCAAGATATCATATTAGTTTTTGCAAATTTGGGTTAGCACAGAGGGTTTTTTCCTCTTTGTTTGGTCCTTTATTTTCTTTTTTTATTTGGTGTTTACACGCACACACACACACTTGCCTAAAAGTATTGGCCCCGCCCTCCAAATCATTGGATTCATGTGTTCCAATCACCTCCATAGCCACAGGTGTATACAATAAAGCACCTAGGCATGCTGACTGCTTCTACAAACATTTGTGAAAGAATGGGTCGCTCTTAGGAGCTCAGTGAATTCAAGCATGCTACTGTGATAGGTTACCACCTGTGCAATAAGTCCATCCGTGAAATTTGTTTGCCACTAAATATTCCTAAGCCAATTGTTAGTGATATTATAACAAAATGGAAGCAACTGGGAACAGCAGTAACTCAGCCACAAAGTGGTAGGCCATGTAAAATGACAGAGCGAGGTCAGTGCATGCTGAAAATGCACAGTGCACAGAAGTCGCCAACTGTCTGCAGAATGAATAGCTAAAGACCTCCAAACTTCATGTGGCCTTCAGATTAGCACAATAGTGCATAGACAGCTTCATGGAATGGGTTTCCATGGCCGAGCAGCTGCATCCAAGCCTTACACCACCAAGTGCAATGCAAAGCGCCGGATGCAGTGGTGTAAAGCACGCTGCCACTGGACTCCAGAGCAGTGGAGATGTGTTCTCTGAAATGATAAAGCACACTTCTCTGTCTGGCACTCCAATGGACATGTCTGAATGTGGAGGTTGCCCAGAGAACGGTACTTGCCTGACTGCATTGTGTCAAGTGTAACGTTTGGTGGTGGTGGTGGTGGTGGTGGTGGGGGGGGGGGGGGATTATGATGTGGGGTTGTTTTTCACGGGTTGGACTTGGCCCCTTAGTTCCAGTGAACTCTTAAGGCATCAGCATACCAAGACATTTTGGACAATGTCATGCTCTCAACTTTGTGGGAACTGTTTGGGTATGGCCCCTTCCTGTTCCAACTTGAATGCACACCAGTGCACAGAGCAAGGTTCATGATGACATGGATAAGTGAGTTTGGGGTTGTGGAACCTGACTGGCCTGCATGGACTCCTCACCTCAACCTGAACACCTTTGGGATCAATTAGAGCGGAGACTGTAAGCTAGGCCTTCTCGTCCGACATCAGTATCTAACCTCACAAATGCGCTTCTGGAAGAATGGTCAAACGTTCCCATAGACACACTCCTAAGCCTTCCCAGAAGAGTTGAAGCTGTTATAGCTACAAAGGGTGGGCCAACTCAATTTTGAACCCTACAGATTAAGACTGGGATGCCATTAAAGTTCATGTGCAATGTAAAGGCAGGTGTCCCAATACTTTTGGCAATATAGAGTGAGTGTGTGTGTATATACACACACATTACCCTTTTTTTTTAATCCGAGCGGTTACAACGCAAGTATTTCAAAGAACATATAATTAGGAAGGAGTTTCTATTGAGAAAAATAAACATAAAATAAAAAGCAGTTACCTTTGTTCTAGACTGTACTTGCTCTTTGCATATGAGACATTTTTTTTTACCCGAGGGGAGCATAAAGAGCAGGTTGCAATATGCCCACAAGGACCAAAAAGTGTATCTCTCTTCATGTCGGAACACACCATGCACTCCTCTAGGGTTTCAGAATCATTGTTAATCATAGATGGGCTGTGAGATCCAACTTGACCACTAAAAATAGAAAGAAAGAAGCTAGAAGGGTTGCAACAAACCTTCCATTAACCAATTTGAATTTTACCCTTCTGCACTACTATACCGAACACTACCCAGTGAAAGTGAAGTAACTAGCACAAGTTAAAAGCTTGTGTCAAGGGTCAGGTAGAATAGCGTTGATGTTTCACACTCCTAATCAATAACAGTAAATGAAAATGACCAGGGAATTGCCAATTGGATAACTGCATTTTTAAGTACATTGCATCCCAGAAACGCCAAAATACTATAATTGCTAAACCTGAAAAAGAAAAGCACCTGTGTGCACTTACACATTTCTTACCACCTTTCTGCAGTCACAGCATGGCCTACATCTTGGCTGCTATGTGCAACAGGCAGTAGAGAAGGGCAATATGAGGATGGAGGGTAGGGTCTGCGCTGCACGAGCTCATATTACTGGACAGTGCTAAATGTCTGTTAGTTTTGAAAATGAGGATACCACATAAGGGATGCAATGCATAGGTAAACCTAAATGAATATTTACTTTTAAATCACGGATTTGCGACTTGGCATACTATTCTTTTTTTTTTTTTTTTTTTAAGTGCTGTGTTTCTTTAGCTACAGAAAGTAATACTGCTCTAACATCTCGGTTTCTCTCAGTACTAATTAGAAATGATTGAAAGACATAACCAGATATCAATCCATACCTGGATTTTTCCTTGTGACACTTAGCCAGGGCTTTGCACAGGCTGGGGTCTGGACAGAGGTCAAGCGGAGACTGGCCTTTTTTGTTACGAATGGTAAGATCTGCTCCATTTGCTGCCAGAAAGCAAGCAATAGAGGCAGCACTTTTCTTCTCAGCCCCTTGAGTTCCAAGACCCATAATAAGCTGGCAAATAAAAAAAAAAACAATTTAGTTATGCATTTTACGATGGTATAAAATAAAATTTGAATAAGTCTATGTAAAACAAGTAACACATACATTACACACTGCATATTAGCAAAAAATGTGTTTATTCTACATCAGACAAGGTTGGGAATATTAAAAACAAAGCTAAAGAAGTGTCTTAGCAGGCAGTATGTGCCAGATACAAGTAAAGAGTATAGAAAGTGGAGAGTTTGTGCAGTAGGAGAGATTTTCTATTGGATCAGGGATAGTAGAAATTGGGCTGATTTTTGTCATTGTGCATTGAATTAATGTGGAGGACTGGGCACTGAAGTTAGTACACGTGTCGGGGACTGGCAGTTAAAATGGAACTGCACTGCACCCGAGTACCCCAAACCAAAAATACCATATAAATCATTTTTAATATTCAAAACAAACTCCTCCATCCATCCATGTCTCCATGCTTTATTTTGCTGAGAAATCATTTAAAAAAACACCTCCTGGCATTTCTGGCAGTGGCCATCTTGAATAAGGGCAAATCATTCATGTAGCAGTTACTTCCTGGAATCCATCTGTCCTTATTTCAGGCTTTGGCTGAGCTGAGAACCCTCCCTCCCCTCTTGAGATGCATGACATCATTAGTCTAGGCATGGAAACCAGGAAATAAATGAAGGAATGCAAAAACAACGTTAAAACACTATACACTCTATTTATTAATGTTAGCAGCATAAGGATTAGAAATAGTCCATGTTGATTCAGAGAGTAACGTTCCGCTTTAAGGCTTTAATACACATACACAAGAGACTGAATGCTGTGGAGTTAAAGCACATGCTGAGCGGTTGATATGCATGCTTAAAAAAATTTCTTTTGAGGGGTTAACTCACATGCGCTGGGTAGTGTTGGCTTAGGGAATAATGCACATAAGCTACATATGGTAGGTCAGGGTTCTGTAGAACCCTAGGGTTCCTCTAGAAGTTGCTAGGAGTCCTTGAACAATGAGATATTTATGCCTTTCCAATAAGTTCCCACCAACACCATTGTGTTTCCGAAAAAAGAAAACTATCACAGAAATCTAAGAAGCAAATAATTGGTAAGCTGAATAATAAATACATTTGCTTTTGGGTTCAATACCACTTTAAAGGTTGACATAAATGCACTAAAAACTGGGTGGGTAGGGGTTAACGTGCATGCACTGGAACTTGGGTGTTTAGAGGGATAACACATGAGCTATGGACTGGGAACTGGTTGCTAGGGGGTTAATGCTTATACACAGAAGAAAGCCACTGAGGGGTTATTACATATACTGCTGATTGGCCACTGAGGGGTTAGTACACATGCTCTTGCAGCTGATCACGGAGGGGAACGTTCACATATACTGCAAATAGGTCAATCCACATAAACTGGGCATAATATATGCCAGAATACAGACTAGCTAATGGGCTGTGTGTGCTGGAGAGGGAATCTCAAGGCTGGTAAATAATATGTCTATGGAATATAAATTTCATCAAAATAAAATTGATAGTATGGCAAAGGCAATTAAACAAATATACTTATGTATACATATGTATTTTATGAAACATGAAAAAAAAAATTACGTAAACTGAAACATTTGACAGCAACCAATCAGTTCATTCAACTAAAAGAATTAATTTACATTACACCTAAACAGAAAAAAAAAAAAAATCACTTACAGTGTTCTTTGAGGGTTCCCATGTAGTGTCAACCTTGCCAACATCCTGCATGTCTTGAAGTTGTCGCAGTTGAGACAATGTATGGTGTCTAAGGGCTTCATGCAGTGGTGTATCACCATCTTTATCTTGGATATCCAGTTTTGCTTCAGCACGCACCAACAACTACAGTGGTAAAAAAAAAAGTAATTTTTACTAGCAGTAAAATGATTTTTTGAAAGTCAATTGAAGGCCACATGAAGTCTGTTGTTTTTTTTTTTTTTTTAAGTTAACCACTTGCCCTCCAAAGGATTTACCCCTCTTCCTGACCAGGACATTTTTGGCATTATGGTGCTGCGCTATTTTAACTGACAATTGCGCAATCATGCTACGCTGCACCCAAATGAAATTTACTGCCTTTTTTGCCCCACAAATTGATCTTTGTTTCGATGGTATTTGATTGCCTGTGTTTTTTATTTTTTGCACTATAGAAAAAAAAAAAAAAAAAAAATTTGAGAAACAAACAATATTGTTGACTTTTTGCTATTAAACATGTCCAGTTAAAAAAATGGTAAACATCAAATTTCACCATAAATTTAGGCCAAAATGTATTCTGCTACATGTCTTTGCTAAAGAAAAATCCCAATAAGTGCAAATTAATTGGTTTACATGAAAGTCACAGTGTTTACAATTAGCATTATATACACTGGGATTTATTTTTTTTTTTTAATTTTTACTAGTAATGGTAGAGATCAGAGACTTATAGGGGGACTGCGGCGGGCATTCTGACACTGGAGGGAACTGACTTGGTGTCAATGACATCCCCAGCGACACCAATACAGTGATTAGTTCTATAAAAAAGAAGAAAAAAAAACACTGACACTGGACTAATGGCACTGGGCAGGAAGGGGTTAACAGGAGGGGCGATCAAACGGTAAACTCTGTGCTGTTTTACTATAAGCTGTGTCCATGTGCTTCACTGTAAGCACACTGCTTTGCATGGCTGTGCTGTGCACAGCCATCCAAAGTAGCGTGAACGAGCTAACAGGCAGGAGAACTGTTGTTTACAAACAGTTCTCCTCCACTTTGGAAATGCTTGGCTATCAACGGGCGCTGGCGAGTAATCACTGGCTGGGACCAGGTGATTGACAGTCATGGCCACGAATAACGGCGTGAGTAGGGCGCGTGCCCCCTACCCGGAAATGCAAAATCACATATACATATGTGATTTTGCGCACCCATGCCGCCCTGTAACAGCATTTCTGCTATAGGGCAGTCGAGAAGTGGTTGAAGTGTATGTAATTCTAACACGTCACATACGACATCTTCCTATGGGTTCAAGGCACATGCCCCCGGGCCAACTCCCACTGTGATTGGACACACCCGGATTTTGATTTCTAACCCAACACTCACACCAACTGAGTATGTTTAATGGTCAACCTTATGAGAAATATATTTCCCAGCTTTTAGCACTGCAAGTATCTCAGACTCCAAGATAAATCTCATATTCTGAGGGATAAGGTTAACAGTCATGCCACTAAAGCCAGCAACCATGAAGCAGGATGACAAATAGGTCCTCGAGACAAAATATCCTGATGATCTGGCAGATATCATGGAGTATATGCCATGAATCTTAGCAAGTAAGCATAACACATCCACCAGGGCCAGTCCGCAGCAATAAGGATTACCTGAATTCCCTCTATTTTCATTTTGCAAAGCAGTTGAGTAAGTAGTTTCAAGGAAGGTAAGGCATAGATCAAGAGTGTACAGATTCTACAGAGACACCAAAGCATCCACTGCTTCTGCTAGAGGATCCCTGTACTTGGAGACAAACCTGTTCAGTTTGTTGTTAAATCTAGTGGCAGGGAGGTCCACAACATGCAACCTCACCTGAGATACAGGTTCTGGAACACTTTTTAGTGTAGGGACTACTTCTCCAGTACCAGACACTGCTGAATAAGCTTGCCTGCCTGCCATTTCACCTGCCATGTTTGGAACTCATTGAACTCTCCCTTAAGGGATTCGTCCCCTTCAGATCGGATCAGAGGGCAGTTGGGTGTAAACAGAGAGCGAGTCTGTTTGCACCCAACCGCCAACACAGCAGAGTGGGCTCTGTAAGTGTTTGCTCTGCACAGACTGAGCGGACACGGACCTGTCATACACCAGCTCTGCTCTGATCAGCAAGGGATTAGCAAACAGATTGCCTGCTGATCCAAACAGAGCGTGCCCCCCAATTTTTTGTGTTCTTCACACTTTTGATACGCAGTAGTAGTAGGAGAGTGCAGAGGTGGAAGAAGGTTGCAAGGAGTGCAGAGGTGGAATAGGGGTGTGTGGAGGCAGAGGTGAGCAATGGTGGAAGAGGTGTGTAGGGGGTGTGGTGGTGAAAAAGAGGTGCAGGGTTTTGGGCCCCAGCAAAACAACCATTTTTGTATTTAGATCAAAACATTTAGGAATATCAGCAGGTAATGTGGCAAAAAAAGGCTTGGTAAATTACATTCTATTTTTATATTCTGACTCTGGTAAAAAGAAATCTAGAAAAGAATTGCCAGCTCCACCTTACTCACCCAGCCAAAAGTAAATTAAATGAAAATATTGTGTCTCCCAAAGATTACTCTGCGATGCAGTACATGTTATAGGGGCAGTTCAACAGCAAAAGAGTGACATCTTTACGGTTTGAGGCAGAAATGGAAACAAAAACTATCCCAAGGAAATCTCACCCAAGGAGTCCCTATTTACACTAAAAGCCAGACTGACTATGAAATATGCAACTTACCCTGACGATCTGTGTATGTTGACGTTCAACAGCTAAATGAAGCGCTGTCTGCTGATTTACATTTTGTATGTCCAAGTTTGCACTGCCCTGAAAGACAAAGCAAGACAAGCAACAGATCAATCTCAACTTAGCACTAGATTTCCATCCTGACAATAAATATATATAAAATTACATTTATTTGGTAAAACATTATATATTGTTTTAGAAACAATTAAGCCACTTAGCAGTTCACCAAAACTAATTTTTCAGTAGTAGGTAATTGCTAATGGCTTTAATCGCATATGCTGCGTTCCTATTTACCTCTGGGATCTTGCTGTCGGACTTCCCAGCTCTGCACCCCATAGTCTGGAAGGCTTATAGTTATAGCCTGCTCCTTAATTCCAGAAAGTCAGAAATGACCCAGTATCCTGTGTGGACCTGGAAACGCAGGTTCATAGATCTCATGCCCAACAGATGTAAGAACCCAGTGAGTATTCAGTGAACTGACAACCCCCCCCCCCAAAAAAAGAAAAAATTACGGACAAATAAAGCAAAAGGGCTTTTAAAGGACAATACATTATAAAAGGCAGAGAGTGGGGAATCATTCAACATACCTGATGAACTAGCAATTCAGCAACTTCAACATGATTATTCAGTGCTGCCAGGTGCAATGCAGTGTATCCATCATCCTTCTTCTCGTCAACTATCCATGGACGAGGTAATTTAGAAAGTAGGACACGCATAGCACTGGTGGAAAAAGAGAAACAAAATCCCTGTAAACACAAGGAAATCTACAGACCGATAAAACATTTAAAGAAATTAAAATGTCACTTTCAAAATATAAAACTTTCCAGCACATGTATGAATAGTTATGCTATCCTTCAGTGGACAAAAATGTCACAGCTTTAAACTCAGCAACAATATACCAGTAAAGAGGTCTTGGAGGCTTAGGGGCAAGGAGTAGGGCTTAATTTCTACAGCAGGGTTTTCTAACCGGGGTGCTACAAAGAGTCCCCAGGGGTGCCGCAGCAAAGTTACATACAACCCGTTACTGTCTAATCACGGTTAATATATACAGAGTAGCAGAAAAGATCACATCCAGCATTCTCCCGGCTCTATCCATCTCCTCTACCAACCAATGTTGTCATCAGTTGGTAGGCCGTGGACGGGTGGCTTGTACAGCTTTCAGTTTTGCAGGCAAAAGTATAGAGAACAACAGAGTAGGAAAGAGCCAGAGGATGCCTGATCGATCTCTCCTGCTGGACCAATGGAAATCCTTGATGATCAGACAATACTGGGCTGTATGTAATTTAGCTGTGAAAAAGGCAAAGAGGGGAGCTTTACGAGGGGGGGGGGGGGGGGGGGGGGGGACTGTGCAAGGCAGGGAAATTTGTCCTGGGAGGGAAATTTTGTGCTGGGGGGAGGGGGGGATTTTGAAGTGGGGACTGGTACTGGGGGTCGGGGATTTACACCCTACTGACCACTTAAAGCTGCCTTGCAAACTACATTTTAGGGCTTTTTCACACCAAGTGCAGTGCAATAACATGTGTGGAATTACACATTTTCCTGCACCACACAAAAATGCATTGCCTTTTGCAGTTGCGTGCGGGTGCCATTAATCCTTAATAACACCTCCACACAGTTACCAATTGCATGTGTGTTTGTGCCCACTAAAACGCACGGTACCACAGTACCATGGCATTTTGGTGTGGCTCAATTTAAAAATCATGCCAGGACCTTTTTGCATGTTTCACAAGCATGGAAAAGCCTAGTGAAAAATGCAACACGTGGGAACACGCAAAAAAAGCGCTGGCACTTGGACACAGCTCTGTGAATGAGCCCTCAGACTGGTGTGCCGCAGGATAGTGCGCAGTTCTAAAGGGTGCCGTGACTGAAAGAAAGGTTGAAAAAACACTGATCGAGCACCCAGGCACAAATAATGAAAAGCGACTGGACATCAGAATTTTACCACTAGGAGAGCAACAGGCTAAAAGGGACATCCTGTACAGGACACAGCATGTTCATACAGGAGGTTCTTTATTATTTGTGTACATTGAATAATGTGCTGGTAGAGAAAAAAAAAAAACAAAAAACTTCTAGTAGTACTCAGATGAAGAATTATGCCACATCTGAGAGCAGAATGTTAGTTGTTTTCAGACACATACACTGCTTGATTATTGCAAAATGTTTGTAGTACATGACTCAGTAACTCCCAGGAGCCAGAAGACCAGCATGTCTAAAAAAAACCCAAATGACAGACAGCTAGACTGGGAAGCCTGGATACAAATTACAAGGATATGTCCATCTGTGTATCTATTACTGACAAACCTGAGCAGTGCAACGTAAGTCAAATGTAATTTAAATACAACCTACGTGAACATCATTATCATCCAAAATAACTGGGATTCGGATTCTCCACAGAGTAAGACCTCATTCACACTGGCACTTCTTCATTTTTCTAAAAACACAGGATATTTGATCTGGGAAGCATACACTTTTTCAGCTTCCCAGATGCTTTTATATGCATTAAGGGCACTTTCACACTGCCAAACCGCAGTATGGGTGCAGTACAGCGTACCTGTGGTTTTCATGCAGGTTATCTGCATGTTCCCAAATATTTCTATTAGACTGGGCGTTTTCAAAGCATTTTCTGAAAGCGCACCAAAGATGCAGTATTGCAGGACTTTCGGTGAACTTTCAGAAAATGCACCTAAATGCCTGATATAATACAAGTCTATGGAAAAGCACAGGTAACACGCACAATAACCGTGGGTACTCTGCAACCGAAATACAGTCGGAAAGACCCGATGAGTTGCTCATCGGATCGTGGACACACAGAATTCTGTTTTCTGCAAATGCAGCTAAATTCAGAGAAATGTTTAGGCTCCACACACACTAGCGCTTTTTAAGCTGCAGAAAAGCTGTTAGAAGCGTTTTAGTAGCACTTTTTTTTCTTCTCTTAAATGCTGAAGCCTGAAAAACGATACTATCCTTAAATAGTGTGCATGGACACATAGGATAACACTATTGTAGCTTCTAGGAGCAGAAAAAAATGCTGAAAAAAGCTTCTTGGAGCTTAAAGTGGTTGTAAAGGCTCAAGGTTTTTTACCCTCATGTATTCTATGCATGAAGATAGAAAACCTTTTCTGTGCAGCATCCCCCCAAGCCCCCCCTAATATTCACCTAAGCCTCCTCTCAATCCAGCGATGTGCACTGGAGTCTCAGCTATCCTGGGACTCCCTCTTCTCATTGGCTGTTGGCTCCCGCTGCTGTCAATCTCAGCCAGTGAGCCAATAAGAGAGGGGGCGGGTACAAACCGCAGCTGTGAGTG